GAGAGAGAGAGAGAGAGAGAGAGAGAGAGAGAGAGAGAGAGAGAGAGATCAAAGAACACAAGAGCATTCGTCTGTGTTGTGTGTGTTTGCTTTCAGGAGCAAAGAGACCCGAGCCACTGGAACCATCAGCTCCCAGTGTCCTCATAACCCACCCTGTGACCCCCCCCTACCCAACCTCCCATCCACTCCTTCTTTCCATCATCCCTTGTTGTTCTYATGTCGTGGCACTGCTAGATTAAATAAATGGGCGCTGTACGCCACAGCGATCATTGCAACAGACATGATCATTGCAAAGAAAATAGGTGGGGAGGGTGGGAAGCCACTTAATTGTGAGCTTTTATTTTGACATTCAGCAATATTCTGCGCTGTTGTGGTCCATATTCATACAACAGCTCCCATATATTCTCCCATATAGCCATCACAGAAGACCAGGAGGACGATGAAGAAGAGGAGGACTCTGACTACAAGGCCTTTGTCCATTTATCTTCTGTACTGGATGGATAGGCTCCCGTCAGTGGGGAGGTTAGGGCAAGAAATCATGTCCATACTGTACATTATGTGTATGCTTATTTATTTTTAAAAGGAAAGGAAGTATACATATAGTTCAGTCTGCTAGATGTTTATTTATACATTTTTTTGTGTTTTATAATTTATACATTTACATTGTCAGGCTTTCATCTACCATGATATATTGTGTTACCACTTCTTTTCTCATTTTTTTAAAATTTCATTTAATTTTTGTTTTGTTCTTGTTTCTTTTTTTTACCATGAAGAATTATATCTGTCCAAAGAAAAACAGTGGAAAAACAGTGTTATTTATTTGTCATTTTACCATGTAAGTATAAATCATTTACAAGCTGTAAATTGCATTCCCTGAGCTGTAAAAAATCTGCTTCTTTCTGTCAAATCTCTATCACAGATGTTTATGTCACACATACACAAATGCATGTTCAGACTGTGTGTTTATTTATTGGGTATATATATATCTCAGTCATTTTATGTACAGACATGTTTCTGGTTTGTTTACAGCTGTAATACCTGACCAAAGCGGTTCTCTCAACGGTTTAGCGAATGAGCTTTGTGAATCCAGCAGTGATGAAATGGAAAAGAAAAAAAAATAATGAAAAAAGAGAGAGATTTGTTTTTCTTTTCTCACTTCCTTTGTTGATTTTAACTCTTTAGGTTTGTTTCCACCTGGAAGCAGCATTTTTTACATGATTCCATGACATTTTTTTTCTCACCACATTGACGCAGAAGTAAATTTTGTACAATACTTGATTATTCTGAAAATGATGTGCCATTAACATTTGTGAACAGTCTTCTTGCCAATGTGCTCCGTATTGCTCTCACAGAGCGACAGTAGGAATAATGTACTGCAGTACTTTATATGATATCAAACTTCTTCACCTTGTTTATTTTGTTTGTTTGTTTGTTTGTTTGTTTGAATGCATTTTTATTTTCAAATGTCACCAGAGAAATACAAAATTCTGTTATGAATATATAGTTTTGTATTTTTTATGTAAATGTCATATGTACATACAAAGTTTGATGGTATTTGTACAGACATGAAGAGTGAAACAATAAAAGTTTTTTTTCCTTATACAAGTTTTTGACTGCTGTGGTGTTTTTTTCATAATGAACATGTCCCATGACCACAATAAATTGCATGTGTTCATTTTTTTTTTTATAAAATTTGTTCCTAAAGTCAATCTGAAGAACAAGAGAAATAAAAATACTTAAGGATTTAGTGTATTATTCTGAATATTAAAAAGCAATTCATTTCAGTCTGTCACAATGTAGTGGTTTTATGCTACATATGTGAATTAATAAATTATAAAATATATTAAAAAGTCTGATTTTATGTTTTTCTTGCCTTTTTATCAACGTTTGTTAATAAAACATTCATTATTTAACATAATAATAGCGTTTTTTGACAGCCAAATCACGTTTTAGCCCTTATCTCACTTTTTGTTTTGAGTATTTAGTAGGTGTTTAATAAAAAWTATTATTTTATGACGTAATTATAAACTAGTAAACACCCCTGTTTTCTTATCAACAAAATTTAACAGGTACTTTGATCAGATTTTAAGCCTAACATGTAAAATAATCATTGAAATAAAGTCTGGTGGGGGGGAGGTTCTTTCGCCTCTCGAACTGTTTTGTCCCTTCGCAGTTGCCGTACGCTAATGTTGACAACAAACATGGCGTCTTCAATGTCACTGCTCGGTTTGGGACGTTTATCTTCGCTTAATTTAACTTCAAAAATACTCCTGAATACCTCCAGGTAATGCCACGTCAATTTTCACTTTGTTTCATGTACTTGTGCGTTATTCTGAGTACAATTCGTTTTAATTTTTGAGCTAAAAATCCATTAAAGTAAGAAGTGCATCAAGCTAAACCGTGCATCAAGCTAAACAAGCGATTGGAAATGTCAGTGAATCATTTTAAAGATTTTCTTACCTTTCTGGAGCCAGGGATCTTGTTTTCTTTCGTAACTTTGTTTCAGTTTTATCGTATCGTCTTTAAATGAATGAAATTATTAGTTAAATGTAAGTGTCCTTGCGACATCCAGCTAGGTAGCTAATTAGCTAATGCTAATTCATAAAGAAGTTTTGGGGCTTGAAGTTAAAATATTTATATACATACTACTGCCAGTAATCAGCGCGAAACCGTAATTTCTGTTTATTAATAGTAATAATAATAAATACTTTGGGKTTTTTTGAAGAATCCGTAGAGCTGTGTTGGATGAAAGAAGGCTAACCTACACTAAAACAACAGAGACAAAACGTTTTATATTCACACAAGAACACCATTGGTCTTACAAGAAATATGTTTATTCTTGTGTCTATGTTGCTAAAAATGCTGAGGTGTTTTTAGTCGATAAATAATAATAGTTATGGCACAGTTACTGCTAAATCTTTAAAAATATGTAGCATCTCATTTGCCTCTGCAGTGCAATCTTCCGATTAGAAGACATTGTATTAACAAAGTTACCTGCAGTAGACCTATTAAATGCATTTAAATACACGTTTCTTCTTTCTCTCATTGTTTTCAAAATCTACACATAATATATCCTCAACAGTTGCTGTACTATTTTTATTTATCTTATTTTTATATAAAAAAAAATGCACTGAATGCACCTGGGTGACATTTGTTTTTGCTCTTTTTCGTGATATTCATATAAAAAGAATGAAAAATTTTGATGTAATGTGTAGTCCTCATTGAATGTTGCAATACAAATAACATTCTACAAAAAGTCAGGTCCTCTGAACGTGTTCTTTGTTTTTCAAAAGGACAAATTATAATATTATTTTTCTTTTTTTTATAAGGTCATTAATAGATGATAGCCATTAAAAAAATTAGCCTTCAGTGTAAATCAGTGACCATAAATATGTTAAAGAATTAATGGCTTTAATTACTTTGTCAGTTTCTTGGTTTAGAAAAATGGAATTGTCCTAAGAAAATTATTTAGAGGAAAAGTAAAAATATTTCAAGGAATATATAAACCTTTTTATATGCAGCAAAGTTTGAAGCTTTCTTATTTTATTCCATGTTTTTCCTCAGAATTCACCTTAAAACAGAGTGCTTTATTTTATTTATTCCTTTATGATTATAAACTGAATGATCAGGTAAATAAAAACCAGCCTGGTCCTTGCCTTCCTACACAGTTCCGCTCAATTCTAGCTTCCCTTCAGGCTAAATAAAAACAGAAGAATAAAACAAGTTGTCTGTGCCAGGAATTTTATTTTGTTGCAATCACTTTGGCTGTTTTTATACCTGGTACAACTGAAAAACAAAACATTTTTAAATCATTAACAATTGCACAAAGTGGGTTTATTTGAATGCATGTTTTCCATTAGTTGAATGTTTACCCCTTGTGTGTGGTTTAATCTGCACTTGGCATAACAAATCATTTTAAGTCTGCTAAATACTGCTCTAAAACCCCAGACAACAAGCTTGTTGTTTATGAGAACCAAATGAAATTACATTTTGTTGAATTTCTACTGACTGTGTTGGACCACATAAAGATGAAGCAGCCAGTTTATTATTTCTGAGAGGACAGCTGACATCTGCCCTGCACAGTTGGTCTGAGAGTAAACTGCCAGCTGTCTTGTAGACTGGTAAAGTCACTGTCTCGTCTCTTATAGTCTGTTAGTTTCAAGGCTTCAGTATGATACATTATGGTCCATAATAGCTTTAAATAAAAATCTTTGCATGTTATTTGAAATGTATGCATGAAGACATGCATATTTTGTGTGTTGTTGTTTTTACACGAGTTATAAAAGGCAAACCTTGTTGGATTCTTGTCACCAGACGATGCTGATGTATCCCAATCCTGCATCAGTTGTTTCTGCAGACATTTAATGTTTATTGTTCTCAAAAAGTCATCAGATGCAACATTTTCTTTTACATTCTGTGACTACAAAGCATAAGCATAGCTTTTCAAATTCAGGTCACGCACAGTATTTGCATCAAAATCCTTAGAATTGTCTGAGTTGAACACATGGATGTTGTTTTTCTCAGACCGGTCGAGCGCTCTCACTGTGGGAAAATGTCTTAAGCATTTGGACAATCAAAGAAATATTTATTAGAATTGTGATAATTAGGACCTAATCCAAAATGTGCCTTTCTCTGTCTGAGTGGTGATGGCACTGTGTTGCTTAGTGTCAGGATGTGGCTGCATTTTCACAAAGAGCTTCACAGTCCTCTCCTGACAGTTATCCACAGGCAACATTAAGCACGTCCAGTCATTAGGATGAAATCGAGCGTCTGCCAGAGATTCACCAGACAGAACTAATAGATGGGGTTGGGTGGGGGGATCTTCCTTGTTGCGTCCTTTTCACTCTATCCTCACCCCTGCGTGTCCTCTAAGACTCGCTGCTTGCAGAGTGATATTTTGTTTATGTAATTTACTTCTTTGTTTTGAGCCTTTTGAGTGTAAAGTCTGTTTACTGTTTTTTTTTTCCAGGTCTGCAAGCACATCAGCACCAAGGCTGGCAGAGAAACCAGGACAAGACACGCAACTTATTACAGTTGATGAGAAACTGGTAAGGATCCCTCCTGTTCAACGTGACACATGAATTGTTGTGTCTGATCCACAGTCTTCCAATTATTTTTCTGAATAAAATGCTCAAAGCTCTCTTAATTAGCATTTACAGGACAGTAGGCTTTTGCAATGAAGTGATTGTACATTTCGTCACTGGTGTGCATTCCCAAAGTTCACATTGTTGTTTTTGGCACAGTCTCCACTGCTGCTACAACCACTTAATTGCTTAATGGAAGTTCAGTTAACAATGCGGCAATTTTTTTAAATTTTATTATTAATTGGTTTGCTTCTGAAGGTTTCATTTAAACTGGATGATCAGTTAGGATATCGAACATTATAAAAATGTTGGGGTTGCTAATCAGTGTGTAAAATATTCAGTATTGGTGTTAGCTAGTTTACAATGTAGTTTTGTTTCATGTTAAATGTAGCTTGTGATAAAGCATTTAATTGAATTTAAAGCACAAAAGCATCGCAGCATTACACATACAGCTTGTGATCTCTTTTAGCTCTATTTGGACCCTGTTGGGCCTTTCCCCAGGTTATTAATGACTAAATATTGACTGTGATCACTGACAGTATCACTCAATGTTTGAAATGAACTTTTTGGCTCACAGGTCAAGGAGAGTGCTACATGATAAGCCACCAGCCTCATTAATAAACTGCCTCTTTTGCTCCACTTATATAATAGTTTTAGTACATTACTTTAATACTAAGATTTTTTTTCTGAAATTAAATGTAACTAATTCCAAACAAGTCGTCTCAGGTCACTTACATCCCAAAAAGTAAAAACATCTAATTTAAATTCAGTTGCGTACACTTAGTCTAATTTGATTTAATCAAATAGTCATTTTCTAATTCATTATAACTGTAATCTAATATTCAAATTTAGTAGTTGGGTAATTATAAAATGCCAAATGTATTAAAAAAAGTTGTTTCTCTAATAAAGTCAACAAATTGCATAACATTGTAATGTAGATTTTGTCCCCTGCCCTAAACATTCAAGTTTTATAAATACAATTTAAAAAAAAATGAACGGCAGAATTATTTGATTTTTATTGTAGCAATAAAAAGTAAATCTATTTAGGCTAGGATGCAAGAAGTTTTGAAAATTATCCTCATATTTTATATTATTGTCTTCAAAGATTGTCACACAAACACTGCTCTTGTAAAAACTCTCTGGTTTGGGCAAAACAAAACGTCACTTTTGCAAAACTAGAAATGCTAAAACAGCTCCAACACAATCAACAACACAATTATTGTGTCAGTGATAGATAGTTTTGTTGGTACTATTCATTGATGTTCAGTTATCGGTGGAGAAAACAAATAACTTTGTTTTGGATTTCTTTATATCAGTTCCATTCATCTTAAGCCTAGAATGTGGCAATAAAGCACTTGCAAACAGTAATGAAGAGGAATGTGTTTTTGTTGAACAAACTTGAAAGAATAGCCCAGTTAAACAGCAACACATTGTCTGTCAACCTTAACAATACTTCACCAAAATAATCAAGCCAATCTTTCTTTTTGAACCACTTGCATCTGTATTGAACTGGACGTTTAGTGTGAAGTTGCAGCTCTGCAGTTCTTTGATTCGGTTTGAGCTTTAAAAATAAGGAATTGAGGCTAAAAAAAGAGCAAATTTCAGTTTTTCCAGAAGAGTTTTGAAGTCATATCTGAACGTAATTTCCTGTTTAAAACTTGTAAACTAAGTGTTGTGTCTGATTTTGACACCATGGCTGGTTTATTTTGCAGAACTGCATTGCTTGTACAATTAAATGTTCCCATCCTTGTCAGAATGGGTTACTGTTTTTACCAAGTGAGGCTAATGAGGTGTTCAGACACTGCGCATTTTTCGGCTTCCTTAGCTGATGAGATTTAGTTGGTGGGATTTGAAAGTTTGTCTAAACTACCACAGAGAAAATCAGATTACAGAGAAAATCCTGTAAACAGGTATTTCATGCACAACCATGCAAAGTGGCAAATGTTCAGTGGTGATTAGTAAATTCAATTTTGAGATGCTTTTTTTGGCTGTACGTTGATCTGGTACCACAGTTTTGTACTTTGTTTCACATTCTTGTTCTATTAAAGTTACTAGGGCAGCTTAATCTTAGCAAAAACAGATGATTTCAGTATTATTGTAGAATATTGCAATGACAGCATCAGTTCCAATAAACCCACAAACTTTGAACGTTGCATATTCAAAACACTGGCTGTGGGCATTTATAGTGGTGAGGGAAGTCTGTCTGAGTGCCAGATTTGTGTTTATTTTGTATTCAGTTTGTATCTGTAATTTTTGCAATCATTTGCAATATTTATTCAGTAATACTAATCAGTTTTACTGTGAAGTAGAGGCTGATCGATATCAGTTTTTCTCTGGCCGATGATGATTTTTTCAAGTCGGGCAGCCAAAGGTTGACATGGAACCCTATTTCCAGTTAAGTTGGGATGTTGTGTAAAACATATAAACAGATTACGATGATTTGCAAATCCTTCAATCTAAATTCAATAGGAGCAACAAAAGATGGGAAATGGGCAGAATGCTTTAAAAACCCACCTGTTTGGAGCATTCCACAGGCTGTTACTTTATATGTTACTTTTAAAGCAAAATGGTCACTCCTGAGTTATGATAATTTTCTGTTGAATCTGTGTTTTTTTCCTCATTGGATTTCTTTTGACTTTGATATATTTGTATTAATGAATCAAGAAGATTTGTGGTACTTTTTGAAAGGAACTGCAGCAGATACCTTTATGATACTGAAAATAATGAATTACAGCTCTGAAGCTGATGGTTCCTTAAAGATTCTATGAAAATAAATTTTAATACTGTAACACAAGCTTTGATTAATATGATGCATTTTTAACAGTTACCATGCATGTGTAGCTTTTTAGGCATTTTTTAGCTTGTGATACCTGCTAATCAACAAGTTGGGCATTCAAAGAAATACATAGTTTGGAATAAATGTAATTTATTATCAAATTACTAATGTAATTTGAGGTTTCCTCTTTATAAGGACATCAAAAATTCTTCATTAAAATTACATAAAATTATGATTCAGACCAAATATTTATGTATTATTGTAACCAACAAGACAAATTAAGTCGTATATATGGATTTACTCATGATATCAGAATGATCCAGGTATCAAAATGGTAAATGGACTGTACTTATATAGCACCTTTCTATCCATCCAGGACACTCAAAGCGCTTCACACTACAGACATTCACCCATGCACACACTCACATTCACACACTGATGATGGCAAACTACACTGTAGCCACAGCTGCCCTGGGGCGCACTGACAGAGGCAAGGCTGCCATACACAGGCGCCACCGAACCCTCAGACCACCATCAGTAGGCAAGGCGGTTGAAGCGTCTCGCCCAAGGACACAACGGCATGTGGGCATGGCGGGCAGTCGAACCTGTGACTTGCGGGTCCCAAAGCCGGCTGCTCTACCACTACACCACAGCCGCCCCCAAAATGTAGCTTTTAAAGCCAGGAATCTGAAAATGTAATGAAGTCATTTTGACCAAATTTGACTTAATCCTCATTTTGATATGATGGGTCACATAATGTTATAGTTATATTCATCATTATGGGATTTATCTTCTCCAGTCCAGACAGAATCTTCTTTTTATTAGATGCTGAAGCACATCTTGAGCTGTGATAAACTTTTTGAAGAGGTCATGGTTAGCAGTGTACCAACTGTACAAAACAAAGTCTGCTCTTTGATGTTAACACTCTCATTGAAGATAACTGTGAAAGAGGGAGTTGGAGTGAATGTGGGAGTCTGTTTTGGATTTTTTTTTTTCTTCAAAGAGGTGAGGTGCAGTGTGGGGCAGCAGCAGTGTGCTTTTGTCCCGGCTCAAAGCTGGCCATACTGCCAGACAAACCTTTGGCTGGTTGGAGTGTCTGTCTCTGTCCTCTCAGTAGGGGCCACACAGAGGAACAGCAGAAAAAAAAGGTTTCTAAAATAGGGAGGGGGGGTGGCTGAAAAGAAAAGAAACTTGCATGAAAAAAAAGAGTTTGTGAGACACCCTGAGAATCAGGAAAAAAAGACAGTGGCCACTTCAGTGTTGTCGGCCACAGAGGTTTCTTTGTGGTGTGCCGGTGCTGGCGACGGCGGGAAGGACTCTAATGCTCACTCAGACAGGCCAGAGAGAGAGGCCCTCAGCTGTTTACAGTACAGTGGTCTCAGTCTCACATGGAAGAGGGCAATGAGAGCACTCTCCCTTTTGGGCATTCAGYGTATGTCAGCACGCTAGTCATCCATCAGCCCGTCAATAACTGTGAATTGCTCTCTGGTTAGACCGATCGCAGCAAGATCTCCATCTATCGAAAGGTCACACTGGGTGAACACCCTCCGTCTCTCCCCCATGAGGATGATGTGCTGCTTGGTGTGTGAATATTTTTTAAAGACCGTCTTTTTAGAGGAGTTTATATTTTGTGCAAAGCAAATAATATTTTAAAGTCACTTCAAAACCGTTCAAACCAGCAGTCCTCGAGGGCCACTATCCTGCATGTTTAGTTGTTTGTCCACTCTTCAGCAGCTCTTCAAGTTCTGACGAATTCCAATTAATCACTCGTTTATTTAAATCAGGTGTGTTGAAGCAGGGAAACATCAAAAACATGCAGGGTATTGGCCCTCGAGGACCAGGATTGAGGACTCTAAACGTTTCTGTCTGGGATGTTCTTCATATTTGTTTCATATTTCTCATCTGTCCCCCCAAAATGCAAACTTTATGACACTTGCATTGTTACAGAAACATTTTGTGATACTTTAGGGGGAAATATTCTTTTTCTGATTGTTCCTAAAGTCTCTCTCTTGATTCTACACTTGTCCTAAACTCAATTTTTTATTTTTTATTTTTTGGTGTTTAATAAGAAAATTGCTTTGGTATGTATTGATGTTTTATGTTTTGAATAAAACAAAATGGAAATTCAGGCTGTTGTGAAAGGCACCCCCATGATGACACAAATTCATCCTGTTATGTAATATACAGT